AGCTCAAATGTCAGAGCACTGTTCTGGTGGTGTTTCAGGGATCATACAGAAAATCCGAGATGGTTAATTGGAAGTTTGATAAGATGACTGAGGGGCTAACTGACAAATAGCCTGAGTGTGTTCGCATGCCATTGCTCGTGGGAATGTTGTGGTTTCCTGGGGCAATCGTGGACTGTGAGCCGCCATTGGCCTATGTGTGAGACCCACTGAATAAATAAGAAACTGTACAGCATCACTGCTCTTATCACAAGCAATTGTATAAATGTCAAAACAGCATCCTTGCTTGCTCTTATTTCATACCATGTTTTCCAGACTAATGTACACATTGCTACGCTGAAATTCAGAAACTCCTGTTTCTTTTTTGGACATACTCTAAGTGACAGTTGCAGAAGAACTTTATGATCTCACCTTTAATGAAAGTTGCTTTCACCTGCATTTCATTAACTCAACAACTTAACTGCTATGTGGATACATATTCCTGCTACATATTCTTGTGTGTTTTGTAATCCCAGTCTTTCAAAGTACAGAATGACATATACATTTTCCTGAATTGTTTCCACATACTTTTTGATACAAAATTCCTGACTTATGGCAGCTGTTTCTTGCCAGAAACAAGTATGTTTCGCTCTGAAAGAAAACCAAGACATTGGTCTCGTTTCAGGCCCAATGCAGCTTGCTGTCTTCCTTTTTCTTGTCTTTTACAGTCAATATTACATGGTGAGGGCGGAGGTTAAGAGTGTAGGAGACTGTTTTAGTTGTCTTTGAAGTGATATTGTAAGGCATACAGGTGATAGGATCAGGGTAGGTAGGTGAGGTCAGAACATATACTGTAAATGCCAGAAACACAATATAACACTGTGTCTGCTCACCTCCTGCATTCATGTAATGATTATTTTCACACACAGGAGAGTGCCGCCTGTGATAAAATACTGAAACTACGAAGATAGCTAGGAAGCTGTTATGCCCCAAGGGGCCGTGATGACAGCTGTAGCAAAGTCTGGGTTTTTAGTATTTTCTTCTCCTGTGGTGTGGTGTGTTGTAGTTTTCCCCGTTTCAAGTTAAAACGTAATACATCACAGAAAATATCAGCTTCAACAATACAAAACAATAGCAGTAAATGTGATAAAAACTCACTGCACCAAAGTGATATTCCTGGAAGTATTTTCTGACACACAAAATAACTTTCCCAGGACTGAGACAACTATGAGAAACTATTAACTATTAATTAATCCCTGGACACTTGTTAGTGACCACATGGGCTCAGAAATGGCATAATTCCAATGCAGTGGAAAGCAAGGACCTGATATCTTGCAAGGGATAATGGGACTGAATATGTATGGATGAATTTCAGGTAAGGTTTCAGATCGTTTTCAATTTAATTATGATGAACTAAGCAGGTGGTTTGTTAAATTAAATAATTTAAATATCTTTTGGGTCCAAAATCTGATACCTTTCAGCACTCAGAAGACCAGAGGTATGGTAATTAGGTTATTTTATCTATCAGGTGTCTCAAAATTTTAGATGTAGGTTACCTAAGGCTAACTGAATCTGTCTCAGATTTCAGTTCCTGGGGCTCTATAACTGTAAAGTTGTGGAGTTTGTACTGTATGTTCTCCCAGTGTTTGTATGGGGTCTCGCCACACTCCAAAGATATGGCCAAAGGTTAATTTGCTTCTGTAAAAAACTTCCCTGGTTTGCCCTCCAATGTCCCCTCTAATGAACTGGCATCCCATCCTGGGTATATCTCACCTTGTGCCCGTTGCTTAACAGGATAGGTTCTGCTTCTCCCTGAAACCTTGTAAAAAATAGTGGATTAAACATTTTATGGATGAAAGCCAATTCCAGTCACCAAACAAAGCTAAGAATCTTTAACAGATAAACTATGGAAATAGACTCTGGTTCCATCTTGCTACTAGTTTAGGTACTGCATGCAGATCCCTGAAAATTTGGAAAATGGAAAATGGAAAATTTTATTTTGTCTGCTTGTAGTACAATCTCACCAGGACAAGCACATTGAAAACAAGTGGATAGAAGTTGTATATCTTTATTTTCATTGAAAGTCTTTGATATTTCCTTTTTCTTTCCATTTGAAAAGAGTGGAAAAAATCAGAAGTTTTGAAATACATGATGGACAATGATAGTACTTTAAAATGCACCTAAAATATCCCATTCAGTTTACATATGGACACATCTGCTGTTATAAACTTCTCTTAGTTTTACATTGAAATACTTTTTTCTTTCTGTAATACCACCAGTGGCAAATAGTTTTATACTATAGAATGTGAGCAGCTTAGCTCTAAACAACTCACAACTAAAACCTTTTGATTCTGTAGAAAGGCTTTGCATTTTTGTCTTCAGTATTTATTTGAGATTACAGGAAATAGTATCATGAATCATGAACAAGACATTCCCTTGTGTATAACCTACTGGTGGGTGGAAAATTCCGTAAACTTCTAAAGTGTTTTCTATTGCAGCCATATCACCCTGCAACACATAACTGGCAAGCAACTGAAGCTAAGCAGGTGTGAGCCTGGTCAGGACCTGGATGGGAGACCTCCTGGGAAAAACTAAGGTTGCTGCTGGAAGAGGTATTAGTGGGGCCAGCAGTGGGCGCTCACCCTGCGGTCCATGTGGGTCCTAATGCCCCAGTATAGTGATGGGGACACTATACTGTAAACAGCCGCTGTCCTTCGGATGAGATATAAAACCGAGGTCCTGACTCTCTGTGGCCATTAAAAAAATCCCAGGGCGCTTCTCGAAAAGAGTAGGGGTGTAACCCCGCTGTCCTGGCCAAATTTCCAATTGGCCTTTACCAATCATGGCCTCCTAATAATCCCCCTCTATGAATTGGCTACATTACTCTGCTCTCCTCCCCGCTGATAGCTGATGTGTGGTGAGCGTTCTGGCGCACTATGGCTGCTGTCGCATCATCCAGGTGGATGCTGCACATTGGTGGTGGTGGAGGGGAGTCCCCATTACCTGTAAAGCGCTTTGAGTGGAGTGTCCAGAAAAGTGCTATATAAGTGTAAGCAATTATTATTATTATAATTATTTCTTTATTGCTTTATTTATTTTGGATTTTACCACTAGGTGGCAGTAGGTTTCCTTAATTCAGTGGTACTGGTGATGAGGACTGTAAGGCATTTTTTATTTGGTTTTCGTCAGTTTACAGAACTCTTCATTGAATTGTTTGGGTTTTTTTCTGTACTCAGGACTCGATCTCTCAAAAAATCTTTCCTTGTATGTGTGATTTACAAGAATCATCGTGTACAGAATGTATTTCAGTTTACTAGCAAGCTAGCTGCTAATCTATAGTTTTCTCACCAATTCCTATCAATCCTGAATTCAGACATAGGAAGGAGTGAGGCTGTCAAACAGTTTCAGGACAAATTCGGAGTGGTGCCTGGGCCCGCAGGATTTATACTGATTTCTAACCTGGTTCTCCTGATTATGAACTAATGTGGTTTTAAAAAAACAAGGAAACAGTTGAGGTGAGGCCAAAATAATGAAGGAATAGAAACAACGAGATATGGCAATACCCAGAACCAGGACTGGGAAGCTGCCTTAAATGATGGGCACTCCACACAGCATACCAGTTTGTGTTTTTATGGGGAATTCTTGTATGTAATGGTGGAACTGAGAAACTTGATGTATTCATATTATTGGTAATTATAATTTGCCTGTTCAGGTAGTTCTCTATTCAGAGTAGTGTGGAGCTGAGGTTTGCACTCATGCTCATAACTGTGAAGTTGTGGGTTAAAATTTCAGAGGGGGCACTGCTGCGTTGCTTTGGATAAAAGTGTTAACCAATTAAGTTCATGATAATGTAAGTTTAAGTGCTGTGTTTATCCATGTGGTATATAATTTTATCTTCAAAGTTGCTGAACTACATTACTGACAGCTACTTTGCAGCATTTTTCCCTGTGTTGCAGGCCATCAAAGATTTGTTATATTCTGCTTCATGGAGGCTGCTTCTGTGCAGAGAGGGAACGATTGTAAGGCCAGTGTTTGAGCTTTAAAGACAAACGATTTACATAATTGGGAACAACTACATGTGCTGGCATTTTCTAAACAAATGTGCTGAAATTAAATAGAAACCTAGTGGACAAGGTGAAGGAAACATAAAAACTGAACTATGTTTCTATGTTAATTGTCTCTCCCATGTCTCTGCAGCCTACTCCAGCCTAATTACAAACCATCCTCACCAGCTTGTTACTTGAGCTCCCAGACATGTATTGGGCCAATAGTATTGAGACTACATGAACAGGTACGTTGTCCATTATTATTATTTCATTCTTCTACATTAACATTAACTACATGATTTGAGAATTAGCTGGGATGGCAGAAAAAGAACTTCAGGAGCGGCAGATAAATGTGAAGAGATATGAATAAAACAATACCAGTATTTGTTCGCACTACAGAAATTAAATATATATCCTACAGGAAAGTATTTTTAATTACAACATGCTCTCACTGATTAAGAGGTGTCCAGCCATGAAGTGCTATTGGTTATCATGCAGAAAATTGGACAAGGATTAATAACAAGGAATAAATATTACTGAACTCTGCTTACTTAACAGCTAGCACTGTGTGAAAATCCTTTGAATTTTTGTATATTGCAAATATATATATATTAATAATAAGCAGAATTTAAAATCACAGACACCTCTTCTGATGTTATTGAACACTTCTTCATCTTACAAAAGTGACAGTGAAGGGGCACTAGGAAATCAAATTGCTTACAATATAGGTTTAAAACGACTCCTGTAGCAGTAAAGCTAAAAGTGAACCAAAGACCTTGTTGCGATTTAGCAATTAAGCAGCAGCTCAGCACTAAACCACAGCCAGTGCAACTCAGATCAATCTTTTTCAAAATACATTAAGCTAGGCAAGTAAAGGACTGTATCACAGTTGGGTTAAAACCCAGATACTGTAGTTTGCCTAAGATGCCCAAGACAGATTATAGGGATATGTCAAAAGTAAAACAACGTCACCTCATGTTGTTGTTTTGAAGTTTTATTAACATCTAAATAACAAAACAATATTGTGTGCAAATAAGACGTCAGACACAGAACAGAACTACTTCGTTTTGGCAAGTTAAGCTGCAACGATGTGGCACATGTCTGAGAAGATGTTACAGGTAAGATGAAGGCTTAATAATGTACAAAACATGGGTTTCAAACCAATCAGCATGAACCGCAAGGGAAATTCTAGCACTTTCAGTCATTATTAAAGAGATGCTCTGACAGTAGTGCTTAAAGTGGAGTAACGATAAATTAACATTGCAATTATTGCTACAACAATAAACATTTATCCCAAAGGAAGGATAAATAATAACAGGTTTCAGTACAAAATACATTCTCGGTGATAAGAGTAGGACATTGTCATGGAGCTAGAACTGTATGAAAATTCTAAACAAATGGAATCCCTTGAATTCTTGTATAGTGTAAATATATTTATTAATATTAATAATAATACCCATAATAAAACTAAAATCACACTGCAAAAACACATTTTAGGAAATACTGACATTGCTAAATGTTGCTGCCTTAAGAACTCTTGTACAACAAGTGCTGCTCCATGTGTTTTTGAACAAAGGAAAACATTCTTGGTTTTAAACTCTTTTAACTTAAGGAGAAATGATAAGGGTGAATTAATACTGATTAATCCAATACTTAAAGGAGACATAAGTGCTTCCCTGTCAAAACTAATGTCAGGAAACGTTTGGCCCTGGCAGACCTTGGTCCTGTGAAACAGGTTCCTCAGTTCAAGTATGACGTACAGGATTGTAATTCCAGTTTCGCCCTCTGTGGCTGATTGCTCTCACGCCTCTAGTGTGAAGACTGATGTGCGGAGCGTACATTCCCCAGTTAGCCAATAAGGACGGAGCTCCTAGGAGGAGGAGTTTACATTCCCGGAGGACACAGCAGTCTCGGGGCAGTACTCGGCCTCCTCCTTGTTGGGGTGGGAGGAGTTGTCCGACTTGCTGCGGCCACCCATGATGGACTGCCTGAGCTTGCTGCTGGCCGGCCCCCCACTGACCTCGCAAGGGAGCATCTTGAGGAAGGCGCGGCGCATCTCGTTGCTGGTGAGGGTGTAGATGAGGGGGTTCATGGCCGAATTGAGCACGGCCAGTGCCAGGAACCACTCCGCCTTGTACAAGATAGCGCACTTCTGGATCTTACAGGCCACATCCAGCAGTAGGAGAATGAAGAGGGGGGCCCAGCAAGCGATGAAGCAGCTAAGCACGATGATGACCGTCTTGAGCAGCGCCAAGGACTTCTCCGAGCTCTTGCTCCCCCTACTGTTTGGGTACTTCCGGAACACGAGCTTGCGGCTGCGCGTCCGCACCAGGGAGTAAATCCGAGCGTAGAGGATGACAATGGCCATGAGGATGACGCTGAAGACCGTGGTGCAGAACAGGATGTAGGTCTTGTGGTAGAGGGGAAGCACTGTAGAGCAGCTGTTCATACTTTCAATGCAGTTCCAGCCCATGATGGGCAGCCCCCCCAGGATGGCCGAGATGACCCAGCAGGTGCTGATGAGCAGAAACACCCGGCAGGTGTTGCTCCCATTGTGCAGTTTCATTTTCAGCATGGTGAGATGCCTCTCAATGGCGATGGCCAGCAAACTGAACACTGAAGCAGCCAGGGCCACGAACATGCTGCCCTCGCGGAAGAACCACTGTGTGGAGCTCAGTTTGTAGGTGTTAGCTCCAGACAGCAGGATGTTGCAGGTGTACACCACTCCTGCCAGCAGGTCCGACAAGGCCAAATTGCCAATGAAGTAATACATGGGCTTGTGGAATTTTTTCGTCCTCCATATTGTGAGCAGAACCAAAATGTTTTCCAGAATAATGAAGCAGCACACGATAATAAAGACCACAGAGTCGGCTTTGAGTCCCGAGTCTTGTTCCACCTTCCGAAATTTCCCAGTGAAATTGTAGTGCCTCTCTATTAAATTAGAATACATGGACCCGTAGGCATTCCTGCTGTTGCCGGCAGTGGTCAGTTCCATTGTTGGAGGAGTGAGTCATTCACGGTGCAATGCACAACTCAGTCCATAGGAGGAGCCAAACCCGTTTTTTTTTGTTCGTGTGTCCGGGCGGTGCTGCTCTCAGCTGAGAAGAAACTCTTTCTGGTAGAAGAATGTGCACCACACAGACACGGCACCCATCGTTTAGACGCTGCAAGAGACAAGCATCGACATTACATGGATGATAAGACAAAAACTTTCATAGATGTTCCCTCATGGGTTTGTGTCACATACTTAATTTTTGTTTTCATTTTATTATGAAAAGGTCCACTAATAATTTAAAAGTATTTGCCCCAGCAATAGACATGCAACATATGTAAAGCTTTTAGTTAAATCTTACAACAATTCTAATTAGAAAAAGTAATGGCTTATATTCAAATCTAAACAGCAGCCTATATGTTTCAGATACCTCCCTTGATAGATAACTTCTCGTTTAGTTCATGTTCATCATACTATTTTGCCGTTCACTGAAAACTACAAATTCATATTCTTCAACACTATACATTGAAAAATAAAAATGGATGTTTAAATGTTTAATTTCATTAGTTATTAGTTATTATTTTATTTAAAAGATATAGGGAAAAAACTTCCCATCGAAGAACTGGTGCTGGCAGGAGAGGGGATTAAAACATTTTAACCGCTGTTTGAGAACTTCACGATAATATCAAAGTTTAAATATGTTCTTTCACAAATAAATATATGCTTACCATACAAACTGATAACTTTATACTGCGACATTTATTTTTTATGAACTTAATAGCAGCGCATTGGTTTACAGGCTCATGCGACGCGCTGAGCTCACCCCGGCTCTACACTGACACTTGTCAAGGGGGCAGCGAGATTTCCCAAAACAGATAAAGATGCTTAATATGAAGAAGTGATTCTGATAGAGTGAGTTTTGTGCGACTATAAAAGACATCATGAATTTAATCATGAATTTACAAACGGAATAAAGCAACACCACTAGTTGCAGGAATTTCTCAGCAGTGATCCTGCACGAAGTTAGTTAAATATTTTTTATACGCGCAAAAATTTAAACTTTAAAATTAATATGATACCGCATCTGGTAAAATGAAGAGAGAGCCTTCTCTGTCTAATAAATCCCACCAGTTCCCAGTGAAACGCAATTTATTGCACTTTAGAGAAATTTCAAAGTGTTGGTTCAAACTGGTACTGCGAAAGGAAATGCGTAAAAAAACCCCAAAACATTCCTAAATCACCCTTTCGACAAATAAATTTAACAATTTCATAAGTTCCGAACTGCGTTTGAAGTACACCAGTTGCTCCAAAAAGCATCTGTTATTCGTGCTAAACTCGTTTTCTTCGAAAATTATGCAATTCAATGTCTCTAATGTACCAATTTTATTCGTGTACTTACCTTGCAGGTATGTGCCCTTGTGTCTTGGTCATATGTATCCCTCGAGTAACGGTATATTCCGATTCAGGACATTATTACATGGCCACGCACCAAGAGACTGTTCCCTCGACTGGAGGCGTTACTGTGCAAACTCTAAGAAGTTAAATCCAGTTGATTGAAGCTCCGCCTTCCTCCAGTTGAGAGTACAGGGGCCCGAGACTTCACCACACCGTGTAGAACTCCGGCTAATGTCCGAGATTCGCAGTGTAGGTGACAATATTTATTTTATATTTTTATTCGATGTTATGTTGTTTAGTTTTAAAAATGTACAAAATGTCAGATGAAACAGTGGTCAGAATAATAAATCCAACTAGAAGTAGACTTGATTTGACTGTAATGGTTTGACTCTAAGGTGCGTGCTGACCCACTGCTCATAATGACAAGGAAACATTATTGGTTATAAAGCAAGCGAAGAAAACGAGGTACATAGAATGAGTAACTGGAGGTACGCGATATACACCCAGCCACTTTCTAAAAATGTTATCAATTATAAAAACTACTGTGTAATAATATATTTAATTTGTAGTAGCCCCTATGAACACAGAAGCCGTTATGACACTGTACCAAAGTAAATTTGTTATGCATTTGTTTTTTCATTCTTTAAACACATCTCTCACTCTTCATCATATTATTTTATTTCAAATTAATGGACTCTTAGCTGCATGCTCATAATTTGCGATTTGATCTACGAAACACTGCATTAAAAAAGTACAAATTAAAACACAACCCAGAATTGCCTTTTAAGTAAAATTTAATGGCAGCATAATACATGGAAAAGCACTTCAGCATGAATGGACCAAGCAGGAAACCAAGACTTGCATCTGAAACAAGTTTATCCAGAGATGTAAGTGCAAAACGTATTTTGTTAGACTATACAGATTGGCAAATGATTAACTAATATTCTTTTGAACTAATAAAATAAAGAGGGAAAACATGCTGTGGGGCCAAAGTTCAACTGAGAGGCAGGAGGGCTGCCGTTTCTGAAGTGCATTAAGCTTGTTCCTCGTTCTGCCTGTAATAGAGTGATTAGGGCTCGCTGGAAAGCTGGACATTTGGGTGCCATTTCAGTTTCAATTTACAAATTAGCGGCTGGCAAAGGAAATGGTAACGGAACAGTTTGAGGGCGTCTTCATGTCTGTGACAGTGCCCATTCAGGGGCACTGATGAAGATGTGAGAGACAGGAGCACGAGAGGTCTGCTGGGGCTGTGGACCCCAGACCGCAAACCCTGCAAAGCAGGACAAGGCTGTAGCCAAGCACTGCCATTCCAAGATGGCAGAGGCCTTCTTAACCAGCAGTTTCAGATGCTCCATCCAAACCTTTAACCCCTACCACCTGAGCTTGCTGTTTTAACTTCAGTTTAATTTCAACATTATTTGTAGAACTAGGTTCCCTTAATGCATGAAATCAGACACAAAAGCTGAGGTGAGCTGTCTGAACCCCCACAACAAAGAACACGTATACACACAATGGGGCTCCTCCAAACCGTCCACCCTCATCTGCTCATTAATCACAAGCGTGCTGCGGTATCTCAAGGTCTAGCGCTTATTTACCCAGTTGATGCCCCGGGGGGGGAAGAGTTCAATATGTTGTGCTTTCCAGTGCGAGGGAAATGGGTGACTTCCATTATTCCAGTTCCTTGGGCACCTCATCACTCAAATGGCAAAACAAGTCAGCCATGTCCATAAAAAAAACCATTAATATACAAATCTGGTATCCTCCACAAAATACTCCTTTCTTTTTTTTGGTCACCTCACGAGAACTGAGGATGTCCAGGTTCCCCTGTGTAGCAGCTTTATCCTTTCCAAAATGGGCAGCTGAGATGAACCATCTTCCTGTTAACATCCAGCCTGCTGATCAAATTCATATCTTCTTCTGGGAGTGAGAACCCAAATACCTGGCCAGAGGGGAAACAGGAGTTTGGAGAAATTATTAACTGCCAGTGATATCCAAAACACTAGAGTTTAATGTGAATATCAAAGGACTGCAGCTAAATAAATTTATACTGATTACCTTCAGAAAAAAGTTTCAGGTTTATTTAAAAAGTATTTTCTAGGGACACTGGCAGAATGTCACTGATATACTTTGCTCAAGAAATTGATAGAAAATAAAATGACTGTCAGTGTGTTAGATAATCAGCAGTACTAGAATCTGGAGAGCACAAGGCCAAGCCTATAGCCAAGACACGGACAAGTGTAATATTTCTTTATCTTATTTTTAGTGTCTTAACAAATGCTCCACTTCCCATTTAATTGTGTGGCAGCAAATAAAAGAAGGAGTTTTTGGGAAAATAACTTTTTGAGAGAGAGGAGGCCTTTTAAGTGGTTCATGGTCATGGGATGATTTCTGTTACTGGGTTCTGCTGTATAAAGTATTGGAATGAAGTGAAGACAGCTGACAGGCTGACCACAGAAATTGGGGCTGTGCAGAGTGCTGTCAGACTGCAGAGAGCACACTGTTATTTACTGAGTCTCCAGAACTTCTGTGGTCTCTGTCAGGCATGGCTGTGGCTAGGGTCAGCTCTCCCTGTTACAGCAAGTTAGCCAGACCAGCTAAAACACATAAAAGACCTGGCCCTCCATTTCAAAAGAGCTTCAGAGCACATACCACCAGCTTTTACAACCCTTTAGATGTAGTATAAAATTACACAGATTACAGTGAGAAGAGCACTCTTAAATTTATCCATTCCTCCTCATATACTCAGTATACAAACCAGATTCTGTATCTGTGTTTCATTTAGCAGTATAAACATGTAAAACTCATTTATGAGCCACAGGGAACAGCTTACAAAATTTTAAAAAAATTACGTATTTTTGCTCATGTTGAGCAACTGGTGTAAGGGACATATCAGACTGATATGTCATCCTCAAGAAAAAACAACAACAACTGAATAGTCGTACATGTCTGATATGAAAAACAGCTATATTTGCTATATCAGCTAAAAAAACTGCAAATATTGTTTTTTTGCACTTTAAGATATTCTATGTTTTTGTTTAAAATTAAAAATCACCAGTTATTTTGTTACATCCCCCTGATTTGAAATAGCCAATTGTGTGATTTTTACACCTTGTCTTACAGCGAAAGCCCCTTAACAGCACACAGGGGAAAATGAGGACGTGCAGATAGACTACACTCACCCGTCCACCTTCCTGCCAATTGTCTTTTACCATCTCAGCAGCACTGCCTCATGCTGGAGACTTGGCACTGATTGAAAGAGAGGTGTTTCCTTAATTGCCAGGTCCACATGTCTATAAGTACCTCGGAGGCCATTGTGTCATCAAGTTGACCCGACCCTCAGTTGTCCTACCTGAGGAATCCTGGTCACCTAGCAACACAATCCAGGCTTGAACCTATGATCATTGAGCTCAGCTTCCACTCGAGCGACAGCCATTACTGGTTGAGCTGCTTGGGAGGCCCCTATTTTGCTTTTTTTGTATGAATTTTTCCTTGTAGTAAAAAAATAATGAAAGAATGGGTGGACAAATGGTCTTGGATCAGCCTGCTATTGCTGAAAGTTTTATTTTCCATTCAAATGCAGACTAATATTGTTCAAGTCACACTGTAGACACTAAGCAACTCACACTGGACCATATGCATTTGTAAAAATAGACATTTTGATTACAGATCCTATTGGTTGTAAAAGCAAGATCTCACAGGCACCCTGATGGCTTAGTGCTCCCCTGCTACAAGCTTGCTGAGGTGATTTACAGAAGGAATTTATAGTGATTTACAGTGAAGAACAAAAGGAGCAATTGTACATGGATTTTCCATACTTCATTCTCCCTGTGATCATACATCTCTTGAGTTTGTGCCTTAGACCAGAGCAGGGCTTTGCAGAAATGAAAATCTCTAAGGAGAAGGTGAGAATGGCAGACTGCCTCTGCATTTCCCCTCCACACACAATAGGGTGTGTCAGTGGTCTCTTTCACTTGGCTCCTAGTGTCTGCCTGCCTGGATCTACAAATCCAGCAATGCAGACAGCTGTTTCCTTTCTCTGTGTTTCCTCAGCCCCCAACAGCAAGAAATGAGACAGGAAAAAAATAGAAATTAGATGATATGATGTAGAAAGCTCCTTAGATCCTTAACAGCAGATTTTGTTTTCTGAAAATAAACATGCATATAGAGGGCAAAGAGTTTCTTCTTTGAAGGTAAGTAGGCTTATACCAGCGCCGACCTAAAAAAATCTACTCTCACTGCCGCACTTTGAACCCACTCCGCTTCCCCCTGGATCCCCGAGATTGGCCAGATCAGCACTATTAAACAACCGCTCCATGAACAATAAGTCTCTTCTCATATGTGACTTTATTACAGAAAAAAACTTGACTTTCCATGCTTAACCAAAAGCTGGCACAGACAAATGGTCCATAACATTTATATATTGGTAAGATTATCTAAAATGTAATGTATTTTTACTTTAACTATGAACAGTAACTTCATAGTTCAGGTATCAATGTTTTATTTCTAGTTTTGCCATCAATATCTGTCTGAGGACTGGGAATATAAATCCATTGAAACTGATGAATGGTCTTTATCAATATAATTTTCTCATAAGACACTTGACCTTTTATAATTTTAAAATATATAAGTTCTCTTATTAAATAAACAAATGCAATGTGTATTTCAAGTCAGGAAGCATTAAAAAAGAAGCAAAAAGTGCCTTTTTTCTTAACTGTTTCTGTAATTAGAACTCTGAACTCTGAAACGCTGTTCCTGTTTTAGACAGTTGCTCTCCTAAGGCTTCAGTGCAAGTCCACACTTCCCCAGGACCTGCCCAGCTGTGAACCAGCTGTGATCGCTGAGGTTCTCAGGCTTAGGTCCAGCTGCTTGCTCTCTGGTAACAGAGGATCTGTGATAGGGAACTCAGTCTCACTCACCACGTGCTCTCACTGGACCACAAACCACACAGGTTACACCTCTATGGTGAGATTATTTAACACAGTGCCTCATTCCCTCTCTGTTCATCCTTTTCCACATCACTAATGCAGTACAGCACACAGCACTTGCATATAAAATAAAATATAAAATTATAACATCTACAAGACTGTGGTTGTCTCCCATCCATTTGTTTTTTCTGGATTTCTGCATTGCTATAACGTACAGAACTGGTGGACTTATGGAATACATTGACATTTTCATAAAGTAGAAGCTCGAAACAGGTGCTTTGAGCCTGAAATTAGGAAAACAGGAAGCATTTATTTACACAAAGAGTTGCAGGTGCCTGCAACAAACATCACAAGTATGCTGCTGAAATCAGATCTCAGGAATCCTATGATACATCAACTGGAATAATCTAAATACCTCAGGTTATTCCAGACAATCCAGGGCTCACATGGTATTGAAACATGTTATTAAAATACAGTATATTTATATTAAGTGTTAGAATTCATTGTTCGAAGAAGGTGACCTGGATGCTAACATGCACAGAATGTGACAATTCAGAAAATTCTGGAAAAGAGGGCAAAAGTGTGATTAATACACTGCTCAAATTGCTGTCTAGCATGGAGCATGTTTCAGCCTTCGAGTATAGTATACAATATACTCTCATCATTCTCGCCTAAAACCCCAGTAGGAAATAATACTAGATAGCACTAGATAATGAAGCAGTTGCAGTAAAGCAGTTTTAGGGTTTGAACAATAAAGCATTGTCGGATCTCCTGTCCCTGTGGGGCACAGGGTCCTTTTTCCATCTCACCTGTCTGTGCACTGTATTAGACTCTCAGGATATTTTGGCAGTGCTGTGCATTTTTAAGAGCTGTAGTTACTGTAAATACAGGGTATCTTTCAATTGCCAAACAAGTCAAAAGTGAGAGTACAAATTACTAAGGTCCAATTAAGGAGAAGCTGAGATAGAGTAACTGGAGGGTCAGATGGTGTGAATAAATGTTCACCGGGTACTATATGAAAATCCTGACCACAGGCCAGAAACACAGACAGGTGGCACTCAGGATAAATTAAAATCACAAAAAGCGAGGAAGAGGCAAAAAAATGCTTCAGAAAAAGGAGGCATTTTCATGTGAAGATAAAACACTTTCCCACACAAAGAGACCTATAGGCCTTTACAGTCAGTGCTGCTGTGGGGATGTGGTGAGTACCTCTGTCTGTAACAGCCTCTGCTCATGGACAAGAAGGAAACCCACATCCTGAACACTGCTTGTTCAGACCCATGTGCAGAATTAGGATCACAACCTGAATACCGCTGAGTTTCATCATCCTGATGGAAATGTAAATTCTTGGAGTGGGACTTGGCAGAATCGCTTGGAGAATTCATCAGTCGGTTACAGAGCAGTGTAACGAACAGTTCTTTCCAGACCCTATGCGGACGACACAGTCCGACGGAGTGGGGAAACACTAGGGAAACGTCATGCAGGAAAACAGGGCTGAAGACAGGGGGGCGTGTCCAAGGTGCGCTGGTGCACGGGGAAGGTGTGGCCGAGGCGAACAATCCGAAAGAGAAGTTCTTAGGAAATATCCAAGAACACACGAGTAAGTCCAAAACCAGGAGATCCATCAGAACAAGGAATAAAAACCACGAAGGCCGGGTCGGAACCGGCGGACGGGGACAAGGAACAGGAACAGGGGTTAAAACCTTAACGGGGCCAGGCGCTTCCAGGTCCCGGACTCGCATGATATCAGCTGCAGAGCCCGGAAGAGCGTCAGCGCCTGGCTTTTAAGGTGGGCTGGGAATAGGGAGCAGGTGCAAAGAATAAAGTCTTTAGTGAAAGGGCTGGAGCACCCTTAAGGAGGGGGAACTAATATGACAAGCAGCTGCTGGAGAAGCTTGGTACTAGTAGAACAAGGTATGCTCCATGGGAACTGTGTCCTTCCTCCCTTCAAAATGCAAGCTCTGCTGAACCTTCTTTCGATTCACAGATTAGAACACAGCCATCTACACAGTATATGTGCTCCTGTAATTCTTCTGGGATCATTGTGCTCACTCAGCTGGAATGTAGACTGGGATATACATTAGGAAAACAAAAATGATTTTAATTAAATATAGAATCATGTAAATGTAAATGTTCCAATTGTGCAAGTCCTACAAGAAGAGCATGAGACAGATCAGGCAGAGAACAGGTGGAGGGCACTCATGTCACCTGGCGAATCGATTTGCAGACGAAGTTTGGAGTTGAGAAACTATTGAGAAGTTCAAAGCCCAGGCCCAGAAATGGCTAAAGACACAGTAAAATTCGAAACAGATGTGATCAGAAGTCAAGACAAACTGAGAGCCAGTCTGGGAACAAATGTTTCAAGGACAAATGAGGACTGGTATGATTGAAACAGTGTGAAAGAGATTAATACTAAAACAGAAGAAATCCAGCACAGCCTGGAATTATAAACAGTAGATGTGCCATGGAAAGCAATAAAGAAATGCATTATTAAGTCCATGCTGAGAAAGTTCATGCAATGAAAGAAAAAATTACAAATGAACAAAACAACTTTGCAGTAAAAATTCAGAAGATTGGACATTTTTTATTTTAATTAATAAAGTGGACCTTTTTAGTTCCTTCTTTTTTCTAATAAAATGTTTCATCAATCATTAGGTCACAAGACAACAGTCAAAAGAGGAGTTGAAATACAAAAATTGTAATTACATTTTCTGAGAAAATGACAATAACCCTGACTTTTCTGGTTTACAGAGTCCAACTAGGAAATAACCCCTCACCCCCTCCAAAAGAAATTCCAGATCTTTGGATACAGGAATTCCTGAGAGATAGCAGAGTGAAGTGAAGACATCCTGTTGGGAATCTCCACGTCTCTCCAGACAGTGTTCAGACAGTTCTGGAGAACAACAACAGCACTTTAACCTTTTTTTTCCCCAGTAGACAGAAGGCAACCATATCTCAAGACTCAGCTTGATGAAAAGTGGATGTTCAGTACCGTGTTGTGAAGCTGTTACATAACCAGCTCACCAGCTACCAGAGTTCTGGCTCTAGAACGTAAATATATTTTCTTGATTATGAGTGCTGCACGGGTGACACAGTGGTGCAGTGCTTAGCATTGCTGCCTTGCAGTATAGGGGCCCTGGGTTCAATTCCTGGGGTGGAGTTTGTATTTTCCTGTATTTACATGCATTTCCTCTGGGTACTTCATTTGCCACCCACAGTACAAATATGTACCTAGTAGGTTAATTAACTGGCTGCTGGAAACTGGCCTGGTCTGAGTGCACCCTGCAATGGACTGGTGTCCTGTCCAGGGTGTATCCCACCTTCTTCCTGCACAGTGTAGTGTGTGTATATGGGAGCCACACAGGTTGGCAGCATTATTACAGTTATCATTATTCATAATAATTTATAAAGACCATCAGTTGGTCTAATGGTGATTGAATCTGCAGTGGTCATTTTCTACTGGTAAACCCATTACATGTGACATAGATGCTCACAATTTTGGGTCATATAAGGCCTGTAATAACACTTAAACTTTAAGAAAAGGAAATAACTATAATGCCAGTAAAGGCGGCTCTACAACTCTGTGTCCAAACAGCACTGTATTGCTGCTTGATTTCACACAGAGCTGCTGGGTCCAGATAAGGTGGAGTGCAGACCAAGATGGGTTCCTCTGTGATCTGCTATTCTAATTTCATACCGCACCGCAAACGACCTGCGTGAGCTAATCTCAAACTAAATAGAAGAGGGACCTGCATCATCCATCACAGACGTGCAGCATCTGTCTGGGTGACTCATGACTGCTATTAAGCACAGCTGAACGGGGAGAACGTACTTCACTTCAGCTGAATTAAGGGGGAGCTTTCAGGAGGCCAGAATGCACAAGTTCAGAGTGGAATTTAGCTAGGACACCAGTGTTAACACCTCTACTTGTACAAACAGTCCCATGGGATCTATATCCTGGGGCATTGGTTTGGAAATTCTAGGTCAGAGTGAAGAGAGTGCTAACTACTGTTCCACCATGAGCTCTTATAACTGGAACCTGGTTTTGCTTGGTGGTCTCAATCTTGCTTATCTTCTGCAAACGGACTAGATAAGACAGAAGGGTGGGAACTGTGCTGCTACAGCATGTCTTTCTATAATGTCCAAAAACATGTTTCATATATATAATCTGATTATCCTTGTGTGCCCAGAGGATGTCCCTCTATATCTCCAATGCGTTGTTGGGGCAGGTTTCCCAGTTTAATTTAAATTAAACTTTTAAATTGCTAACTGATTTAGTTAACTATTGTTGCTAATTCACATTTCAGGAAAGCAAATCACTAATTAAAGCACTTTTCTTAGTAATTATTAGCAAATGTGTTTTTTTTAATTCAATGCATTGAATAAAGTCTTCAACGGAAACATGGGTGTTCTGTTCTTTTCAGGAAAATGTGAGTTTTTACATTGCACTATGTGAGAAATTTCTCTATTTTCATGTTTTAACTAATTCTCAAATACACATCAAATAAGGTCTACGTTTGCAGATGTTTGTACTTCTGCTCACATGTCTTCTGTGTCAGGCCAGGCATATGTTCAGCCATTTCTCAAACTATGTTTAGTCTATGCTACAGTACATCCCCAACCTTCATACAATTGCTCAGAATAGAGGTATCTCAGGCAATGTTTCTCTTGGCCTTCTATTATTGGTTCAGCACTTCACACAACATGTACTCACCATTTATGGTGGTGTTAACATGATGAAAGGATAGAAAACTAATAACTGGAAAACTATTTCATACTGAAAATGATAGAAATTTCAGCAAGTAAAGATAGCTGATTATTTGTGTACCAGAAAACATTTGTGCTAAAACAAATCACTTCAAACAGTAAATCCCCAAATACATTTATTCAAGACTTGAGAAGGGTCTCTAAATCAGCACGAATGACAAAAAAAAGAGCATTTGTTTATTTTTTGTTGGATAGAAAACCATTGTAAAAACACTGGATAAGCAAAGTGTAAATGCAAAAACTAAATCAATCATTTAAAACGTGATGGAAACTACTTGCATGTTGCTTTTTTGCATGTCTCCACAGATAACAGGAATTCATGGTATATTCTGCATTATAATAGCAAACGGGTCACATATACTGTATACGGGCTAGTAACTCCTAGCTGTCTGTAAGGTGTTTCTGTATGTGTGTCCTACAATGGACTCTCTGCTTCTAGATAGCCACAGTCCCAACCAGGAATACTGTAAGTGGCTTTCTGATATTGCATGGATGGAGTATGCTGAATATTTAAACAAACATATTCTGAACAATGTTTTTAAAATTAGGCAAACTCATTAGATGAAACTGTGGTTCTTATTATCTTATTATGTGGAATTATTACAAGCTTCAGCAGATGATGTCCCCAGCTTCTCCTCATGGACTTCATGTTCCCACTGACATATCCTCATCTATCCGGACTTATAAAACATGCATATTGAGTAAAAAAACAATTTTCTAGATTTCAAAATAGGTGGATAGGTGATGATGAACACTACAATGATTTCAGGCTTTTTGCTTTTGAAATACCAAATAAAGATAAACAAAAAGTAATGAAGATATAGACCTACATTACACAACGTATGTGGGATCCCAGCTCATATGCCTCCCATCATGTAATGCGTTTAGAATTCTCAGGTCACTGTCCTGAAGGCTGAAATCCAGCACCTGTGAGGCGGCACAAGCACATTCTGAGTCTCCCATGGAGCACAGCTAGCGTCAGCTCAGGACAAAGGGAACTCTAGTAGCTCCCTTAGGGAAAGTTTGCACTGGTAGATTTGACTTTGATTTTGCTTTCACTGAGCTTTACTACACTTGATAACAATAATACTATGATTTGCAATACTTATTATGGTGGTACATTGGAATTGTAAGAGAATTCAGTGGATTCTATTCAATTAATTCTCTTCACGGATGACTCTGATGTAAAACTATTAATTCATGCTAAGGGCACAAAATTGCCAAGAATAAAAGTTTGCCTTGGTTTGAGTTGAAACCAGCAATGCCCCGGTGCCTCAGATATGGGATATTTCTTCCAGAGGGAAGAGGCAGCATAGAGCACCTTAGGAGCATCTTCCGCCCACTGGTTTAATACAGAAGCATGCTGAAGACACAGTGCAACTTCAAATCACCACTCGAAACTAAGCAAGCACATTTGTGCAATTGGGGAGAACACAGAATCACTCCAGGATTTTAATAGCATTTAAAATATATTTTTTAAGTAAATGAAGGAGAGTTATGACTGAGGTAAGCACAAGACCACTGTCAAGTCTGCAGTGAGAGGCCAGTCCAGAAGAACACTACAATATTTCCCCCCTATACTGTAAACTGATATTATATGGAAACTGAGCATGAGGACCTGAGGGTTCCTAGGGCTTCGTCGTTCCGACTGTAGCTAGATTGTACCATGTACACTGTTATCCATCTATTATTGCAAGCTGCTTGTTTCTGGCAAGTCTCATGGCGGCCGAGAACCCCACTGGTAGGGTGGGACAAAAGGCCGGACCACATGTAGTCCATCACATGGGGTGTACACACACATACGCACAGGAACACCGATTAACCCAGCTGGTGTGTTTTCAGAAGGTAGGAAGAAGCTGGATCACCTGGAGAAAATCCATAGGTACTTGAGGCGACCATGCAAACTCCTCACACAAAGTACCTGTTAGAGAATCAAACTTTGTTGTGTGTGCTGTGAGGCAGCAAGGCTTACCAACATGTCACTGTGCGACCCAGTACTGACAGCATAATTCTGGTTATATATCTTACCACAAACTGACATAGCTTACTTGACAGTTCTCCAAGATCCTTTTCTCTTTGGTTGACTTGGGAATTGTGACCACTCCATTCTGAAAAAAGAACGTGAGGAAAGAATGACAAAACAAATAGGGAAAACTCGCTTTGAGAACTCACAGACACTGCCCCACAGTAATCAGCATACAGTCCATGAGCAGAAAAGGGGTTTAGGTTTATTATAGCCTCACAGAAAGGAAAAGAGAGCTTTACTGATGCCATTGGGGAATTTGCAATAGGTCTTGCTCAGAAAGTTGTTTATTAGTAGTTTCAAAGAAGGAGGAACTCCTCACAGTAGAGTGTGTATTTGCTATTGGTTTGTTATAAAGAAAATATCTTCCTAATTTGAGTAAATGGAAACTATCCACTTTGTGATATTAAAAATTAATATGGTTTCATCCCTGAAAACATTAATCAGGGTCTTACAACTGGTACCACTGGATATGCTAAATTTACATTGTTGTCTTTCGATAAACAGCTACATGAAATCTTCAGTTCTAACTGCCAAATGGACTTAATGGTTTCCTTTTAGAATACATTTTACATCTTGTCAGACATTGTAAAACACTTCCTATAACCTAACACACTTTGTAGAAGCTTCTTTTAATGTGGGAAGTGGCTGCTGCAGTTATTGAATTAAGTTATTCACACATAGTGTTATGAATGACTTAATAATTTTAGTCCTAAAAGTCTTAGCACTTACAGTACTAAGTACTGTAACACTTGAAAAACTTGTTACAGTACTAAGTCAACTTTTTCAGGACAGTATGACAAGACAGTAAAACAGCCCAGAGAAAAATGGGCTTCTGATTTGTTTAATTGTGAAAGCCAAAGATGTAAAACTAGCAAGAGACAATATAGTCAGGATTAGAACTGAAATAATTCTTTTTCATTTTTACAAGTACTTAGAGTACCAGAGTACGATGGGAACAGATTTTATCATGCTAAGTAACTGGAAGGCAGTGGCTTAGTACTGTTTCTTGCTAAATACTGTTTTCTTTAACTTTTACAATTACTCTCAGAATGTAGCTCTACAGAAAAAAAAAACTGGGGGGGGGGGCGGAGATGCAAACGGAAGAAAGGAGAAAATATTAATGCAGGAATTCATAGGCTGTTAAGCTGGAAAAGAACAAGCTGCTTTGCCCATTGCATTCTCGGTCAATGTCACAAGTTGAAATGCTTCAGATCACCACACACTCTATATGGCCCTCAGCGTTTTCATTCCTCAAGGAGCAGTATCGATATTTCTATCTGACTAAAAGGTTGAGAGGTTCACACAGGGAACTGGCATGCGTTCAAAAAATAAGTTGCACAAAAGTTCCCTCACAGATGCTCTCTTACTCTCTCTCTTGTTCCCCCATTCCCTCTTGTTGTTGTGTTTTAAGTACAACACAACAAACAGAAATACAAAACAAGAAGGTTGCAAGAAAGTAAAGCAACCTAATGAGACCTGAAGATGACCAAAAGCCTTGCAAATGTGTGGGTGCTTTATATTGTTGCTGTGTTTCTGCCTTTACTGAACGCTGCAGTAATCAAAACTTCCAAAGTGCTATGAAGATGGACTCTAGCCATTAGGAAGTACTCTAAATGGGAAGAAAAATCAGCAATACGTTATTTTTATATTCATGGTACACAAACTGTTTTTTTTTTGCTGACAAGTTCTTTTGGTCAAGCCCCGAGGCTTTTTGGGTACAAACAACTTCAGGGGGCATTCAAACTGTTTTCTTGTTTACTTGTACATTGTCTACTGTTTGTTTGTATATTGTCTTGATGCACTGTCTGCACTTTGTGTTTTTACACTTGTTTTAACAACCGAGAGACTTTCTGTAAGTAAGAATTCCATTGTACGAGTACATGTACCAGTTACATATGGCAATAAAGTTCAAGTTCAAGAAAGCAGGTTTGAGTCCCAGCAGGCTGTAGTGTGCTTTGACCTCAGCCTCCTCTGACCTGTATGCTCCAGCGGATGCAGATCTGGGAGGGGGTGCGGCCATGCTTGTTTGCCAGCTGGATGATGGTGGGATGTGTGAGAGCATCTCCTTTGGCCAGAGGACAGTAGCCCTCGAACACAATGCCCTGCTGCTGACAGTAGTCCACCAGCTCCTGTGGCCGCTGGAAGGGGTGATACTCCGCCTGCCAAGGAATGAGGAACTATTCACTGCACCTGGATGATACAGGCGGGAGGCAAAAAGAGTCGCCAGAAGACAGGACTATGGAGCAGAGGGCCCCGAGTCTAAATCTAATAACAAGGAAGTAGGAGCTCATTTAGGACATTGTCAACAGGTTACAGAAAAGGGACACCGCTGCCCTGGAACAGGTTCATAGAATAGTGAGCAGATGTCCTGGACTCAAATGGATACCACACACAGAGGAACTGATTTTCTTTAGAACTGACCCACAGCAACTGAAATCCTGGAAAGTTAGTGAACTTTCAAATTATTGATTGTGTGAGTTATCTTACCTTAATAATCTATGCATGTGATCAATGAGAAAAACAAATGCCTTGAAATGCATGACTCAACATTTAGGAGTTGAGTCCAGTTTACTTTCACACAGAAATGTTCTAATTTTTTCTTACAGGCTGACCCAGCCTGGCTCCTCCTCGGAGGGACAGTCCTGTTAGTGTATCAGTCATGCTGACAGCTCCCAGAACACTGCAGCCCTGAAACAACACTCTCTCTTCTCTTGGCGGAAGAGAAGGGAAAAAGAGCCCCAGCAGAGAAGCCTATCCTCTTGAAAGCCACTGGATGTGAAAAGCCTGGCTTCTCTCTGGTCACCAAGGCACAGGCTGAAATATGTGAAGTCCTGAATAGGGGGTTCAATAATGGGGGAAAAAGTTCTTTGTTAGAGCACACACCCCTCCCACATTTGAATCCGTTTCTTCTTTTCTTGGCCTTGATCCTTTCTGCTCCACAGGAAACTTACATGGAATGTCACTTTTCTTTTTGCATCTTACAGGGATGGAGCAAGACACCAAGATGGGTAATTGAGGCACCATGAGAGTTTGCTCCAGTCTTTTTATAGATGGAACAGGACAGAGCACAGCCCATTTACAGACATGCCCCAGTCACACACTCAGGAGTTAAACAGCAGAGAAAGGCAGGCAATTGACCCAGGACAATGGCAGGGGCAGGACTCTGTAGCACGGAGGCCTACTGTAGTTCACTGAAACCACTTCAATTATGCTGATTCAAGCACTTATTGGAAAATCTTAGGTGAATCGTTGCAGAGGCAACTTTTCTACTTCCCCCAAAATGTATGGGAGAAAAAAAGAGAAAATACTATTTAGTGTTTTTTTAATTGATATAATAAATCAAATGGGAAATCTGGGCACATCAGCAGCAAATTCCTCACATCATAAACCAGGCATGTCATAAATGTCATCTTTCTGTCTGAGCCAAAGGAGAGCAGAACAAAGTGAAAATCATGTCCTGCATCCTAACCATGTCCCAAACATTGGCCTTCCTCTTGCTCTTCAATCAGTCAAACTGTGGCTAGTAATGCTTTCACTCATTTAAGAAGCCCAATAAAAATTGTCTGGTGAACTATTTTTTACAACCCTCATTCTGAGTTGGAAATCTGGTAAGCAAGTAAAGTATTCAGAAAAAAATCTAGTTAATTAAATTGTGACATAGGCTACGGAGTCACAGTCTACCACACTTTGAAAATAAATATTCATAGATGATATGTATTGAAATTCCAATATTTTAAATTCCAGGAGGTTAAACATTTCTAGTTAAATGGAGGAATTAGATATGCAGCCATCTGCTGTAGCTGATAAGCACTGATGCCGGCCCATCATAAGACCAGTTTCAGCCCACGACACACGAGCAGAAACTCGTTCTCATTCGCAAGCAGCACTGGCTACTGATACAAACCTTTACCTGGTCTTAATGATAAGGGATGAGGAAAATATTGACATCATCAGAAATAAAGCTATGACAAAAAGAAGTCAAGGAATTCAAACTTAAAAATAAACAGCATTACTTTCACATCATAAACCACAGCAGTTATGTACTGCTTTTAATTTTCCCACTTTAAAATGATAAATAATTTTAAAGGGCATAATAATAATTTTCAGACAAGCTGCCCTTTCCTGCCGACAGGAAGTTAACCGGTCATTTTTGTGACACCTCTCCTCGCATTCAAAAGGCAACAGCCTGACGTTGTGCTTTCAAAGTTAATTTGGAAAATGATTATTTGTTTTCCACTGTGACATAACCTGTCATATCCTGTTTGCTGATTTCCTGCAATAGTGGTCCCAAATTGAGTGGTCCCAAATAGTGGTGCAGCGATGTCTTAGTGGTGATGCAGGGGTGGAGCACCCACTACAGGTAGGGTGTGATTATGTGTGCAATGTGACAGGAAGTGGGTTCACACAGCAGCTGCATCCAGAGCTGTAACCTCTGGATTTCTGAAATTCTAACAGCTATAACAGTCAGGACCAAGGTTGGCATCAAAACCCAAATGTTTTTCAAGCATGTCCTTTGCACTTCCCACATTAAATTTAGATTATTGGAACTTCAGCAGAAAATACAAGCTGGCGACGAGTCTATGTGATGTGGCCTGATCTCTGCCCTCACCTTCCCCATTCCAATGGAATACAATAAAAATCTAATTGTGCAGCCATTCCCTATGGCTCTCTCTTCTGTTGTGTGTTGATGTGGTTTCAATGATGAATCATGGGAAAAACAAAATGTCACTCTGAAGAGCTCCATCCCCAGAGACATAAAAGCCTTGGTTTCATGCTAAGCTTTTGTTTTGGCATTGAAATTCATACTAGACCTAGTAAAAAGGCATCTGTTTCCCCTGTTTCTTATTTAATTAATTGTAGTTTTTTTTCTTTTTTGCAGTTATTTAATTTAAGCTGTCCCATTACAGACTTGTGTATTTCATTTTTGGCTGGGGAGGTGTGGATGGGGGAGCAATGATTATATCTCAAGAAACACTTTGTGTCCAGGATACAGGGTGACAGCTGCTAGTATCTAACAGCAATTATGGATTGTGCTAGGTACATCTATGCAGTCTGTAGTGCCTGCCAGCAGACATCTGTCAAAACAGAACAATTACTTTACTTTAATGGAACAACCACCTCATTTCTGACCACCTGCACACAGGCGAAGATGGAAAGATGTCCTCATCCAACTCAACAAGGGCAAAGCAACAGAAAAAGCAAAACAATACAACCTAATTTACAGAAAGAGCTACAGTATTTAACCTTACTCAACAAAAGGCAACGTGAAGGCTTCATAGCATGAGCCTGTTTAGAAAGCTGTGTCCTGTTTTAGTTACCTCCTTATGAAAAGGACTGGAGAGAGACCAAAGGAATTACCCCTGAATAGCCCCTGAACTGAATGCAGATGAAATACAAGGAGTTTACCAGACATGAGCCTTCTCAGACTGTGACAGGGAAGCTCAGGGAAGACCGGGCTGATGTGTTCTATACATTGGAAGTGACTGATGCTGTCAGGTTCAAACCATGCAGCTCATTCAGCACAAAGGCCAGGGAACCCAGATTGAGGTGAAGGACTGACCCATTCAGGATAATCAATTTGAAAAAATAAATGTTCTAATGTTAATCATTTTTAATTCTTTTCTTAAAATAATTCTATGTGCATCAGCCAAGGGAGAGATTATCATGTTCTGAGCCTGTGAACATTCTGGGCTGTCATTTGCCAGGAATATTCCACTACTACCTGAATATCAAGACATTATTATTTTAATAACATAGAATAACAGACCTTGCTTGAATTTTAAAAATTCTTACATTGTTGCCCTGAGCAGAATTGAAATGTATTTTTAACTTTTCACCTAAATGATTGGAGAAACAAAAGATTTAAAAAAAATCTTTTTACAAATAATAAAACCAATTGCTGCTGCTGTATCAGGTTACTCAGAGATCCAGTATGTGGGGTCAGGCTTTTTAACACTACTGTATTTTTGTGAATACACGGCACTTGTGAAGTCAGTAAAATGGAAAAAAAAAATTCTCTTTCACCTTCAGCTTAATGCAATAAACCTCTGTGAGTCTACAAACAAATTATTATTATTATATAAAGATCAAATAGATGCTAAAAAACAGTAAAGGCAACAGTTGGAACTGCCCTGGAGAGGAACCAGGAGAAAACGTCTGAGCAAAATAATGCTAAAATGATTCCTACACACATACCAGATCCCCCCCTCCCGCTATTCAATTAGTGTTATCAAAGATAAACAGCTTTCATGTCTCACTTTAATTTGTTTTTATTTAAATGAAATCAGCATATCATCAGTGATGTGCAAATTGAATGAACTGCTCTCCATTTAAGCTTGGCCCTTTGCTAGGAAACACGCTTTCGTTTCCCAGATGTATACCTCTAGAGCTTCCTCCTCTCACTGGCCTTTGTTCGCAGGATTTCTGGGACACCTTGGCAAATTCACACTATAGTCTTACAGTCTTCAAAAGCCAGTCCTTGTGTGACTGCATAGAGATGAACTTGGGCTCATTATTCACTAAACCTGTATTCTTATTAATTTATTTGCTTGGTTCTAAAAGAAACCAAATGAAATGCCTTGGTTAAAAACTAAAAAAATAGCTGTATCCCACCTAAGAACCTTTGAACTCTCAGCATTCCTGTTATGAATCCAGAGCCCCTAATCACTAATCATCAATTTGGAAACAGAACAATCGGTTAAAAGATGATCACATTGCTACAGACAATATTCATCTATCACTTCCCACTGCATTGAGCTCACACTGGATTTTTCCAAAGGCAAGAAAACAATGACGTTCTAGACTGTCACTGGACTCAGGAGGCTAATTTACCAGCCCCTTTAGACAATTCAAATGTTTTTTTGTATTATTTTGTAATTTGTTTCTCTTGTACAAAAAAAATAACATGGCATAAAACCATGTGAGTGTGTGCAGCATGTATGAACATTGTGTTCTAATATTTGCTTAAAACTAACACTTTAGGTTATAATAATAATAATTGCTTACCACCACCAATGTGCAGCATCCACCTGGATGATGCGACGGCAGCCATAGTGCGCCAGAACGCTCACCACACATCAGCTATCAGTGGGGAGGAGAGCAGAGTGATTTAGCCAATTCATAGAGGGGGATTATTAGGAGGCCATGGTTGGTAAGGGCC